ATTTTAAATGTGGACGTGACATAATTTAAAAAGTGATGTTTTATAGTATAATTTAAAATGTAAGAAGTGTAAAAGATAAAGCTTAAAAGACATATTAATCAAAAATTATTCCACTAAAATCTCTCATCTAATATATGTAGTCAATGTTCATGGAATGGAGAAGAAAATATGATAAAAGAGGTTGACTTTTAGGAGGCCTTGGGTCCCTCTAAGAAACTAATGAAAACTATAGTCTCTGTCTCTGAGAAAAATATAATTATAAATATGTTCTTTATGTAAGACAGATGGCCCCAGAAACAATGCAAATATAAATGTATTTATTACAGATTAGCAAATTTTAAAATGCAAATCCCTTGGAATTATAGGCTAAAATTGTGTGCGTGTGTGTATGCACAGTATTAATCTTGAATCTATTATATCTTTGCTTATATATGTCTTAATGATCTGGAAGGGTTAAAGTCTGTGGATATATTTTTAAGAAGAGAAACTATTTTTGGTGAACTATTATGTAGGCATGTGACATTAGACAAGTCGTTTAAGCTCTCTAAGGCTCAGTTTCCTCATCAGTAAAATGGATACTCTAACTTACCTAGTTCAGAGAATTGTTGCAAAGATTAAACACATTATTATATAAAATATATTTATCTTGTTTGGCATATTGTAAATGATCCATAAACCTTAACTATTACTATTAAGCATAGTGGTTGTTTTCCAAATTACCAATTTTCTTTCTGTTTTGCCGCCAAATGAGTAAACTGCTACACCTTTAAGGTACCAAGACAAATGACTTCAGAAGGTACAGTTTGAAATCTGACATTGAAGGAAAACTACTGAGGCAGTAGAGAAAACTCTAGAAATTAAATCCAGATCTTTAATTACAAAAAATGACTAGTTTGCCCATAAATAAATCTATTTATCCCAACTCATTGTTTAATATTTTGTATATAGTTATAATTATTGATAGAAATCTACCATATATGTTAACAAAAAACGGCCAGAGACCAAAAAAACGCATTTGACTGAATTTTCAAATCAGCTGCCAACTCATGACTAAAAGCCTAATAAAGAAACATTCTTCTAATTTAATTTAAAAGAAACATTAAATAAAACAAATCTGGATTAAAACATAATTTACATTAGTATAGTCATGAGTGCTACAATAAGCATATTGAAATATCTAGAAGAAATCTAAATTCCTAGCTGTGAATGGCACCAGAAAATGAACAAACTTATTATGTAGCTTGATATTTCTAAATGGAAAACCGAAGACTACTAGACACTTAAAAATAATTTGAAAAATTACTGAAACTTAAATATAAGAAACCCCACAATCACAGCATCAATTCAGAGGCCATTTCCTACAGTAGGAATTATATATTTTTATCTCTCTCTGGAGAAGCTAATATACCATTATCCTGCTCAATGTTACATCAACATGTCTCCAATCTCATTGCATTGCTCGTAAAAGTCTATTTGAGCTCTGCCACAGGAAGGTCCATCAGATAGCGAGAGAAACTCACTCATTAGCAAACATAATGTTTATTTCAGTCATTATTTAATATATCAAAACATCTATTTTTTAAATGCACCTGTGTACTTCAAAATTTCTAGACTATGACACTTATTCTTTTATTAATATTCTTATCTGTTCTTGATAAAACAGAAAATAATATATTAAATAATATGCAAAATATGTTACCAACAAACATAAAATAGATTATTAAATGGAACTTAAATTGGGCTTTCATATGATTTACTGATTTATGCACTAGAACTAAGAATCTACTTTGTACTCCTCTGAGAGCTAGCAATGATTTCAATATATTACAAATAAAATAAACATTTAATTATTGCTTTTGGTTCATCAGAGATGATATTTTCTTTTGTTGTTTTTGTAATTAAAACTATAGAGTGTAATCTGCATATAAAATTGGATGATATATTTTAAAAAGGCAAGTTTGTCAAAGAAATCTAAAAATATATTTCAACAGCACATATGAGTAAGAATACTTTTTTAAAGTGGGAAAATAATGAGATAATTAAATTGAC